CTGGAATGGGAAAATACAAAACATAATATCCAAAAACCACTGGCATCATGGTGTGGGTTGTTCACCCTCATTGGGTTGCTAACTGGGAGTTGGAACTCTTGCTGTAACTGCCCAACACCATGAGATCAGGTTACATATTGCTCACCCAGGAAGAGAGCAAAATTCAAAACTCAACATTTCAAGTAAAGTTTCTAGTGAATACAGATGATTTTCACATCCACCACCAGGCAATAAAAAAATCCCAAGTCAAATCATCATTGTAAGTTGGAAGCTGTCCGTGCTTTATCTGTAGGACTTTATCTCTTTGAGAAAGAGCAAAAAGAAAAACTCAGAAACAAATATGAAAGTAACTAATACCCAGTCCTTTGAAGGAGAGCACATAGATGGGTGTTTGCTGTATTGGCCTTTGTGCTTCCATGCATTTTAATTTTTCCATATAAAAAACAGTGGTATTATCAAATAGTAATTACTAAAGCAAACTGGTTAGTCCAGAACCAATGATCATATTGCAGCTGAAACCACTTCAAACCATGCTGTTTGTTTTCTGTTTCTTGAGAGAAAGAGACTATAACCACCACTTAAGGTACTCTTGGGGCAGGTGTGTAGCCTAGCAGTTGAGAGGCTCACAACCCACACAGTGTGTGAGTTCAGTTCCCAGTTCCAGCTCCTGACTCCAGCTCCCTGGTCCTGTGCACCCTGCGAGTCAGCAGGTGATAGCTCCAATAGTTAAGTCCCTGCCACCCACAGAGGAGACCTGGATTGAATTTCTAGCTCTTAGCTTCATCCTGGCCCAGTTCCAGCTGCTGAGGACATTGGAGGGTGAACCAATGGATGGAAGCTCCACTCTGTCTCTGGTTTTCTCCTTGTCACTCAAGTAAAATTTTAAAGTTAAAAAAGTGAAATTCAAGGTTAGCCCTGGAAGAATGTACTATACCTAGACTTTTTCTATACAGAACATTTTAGTAACAGTTGGGCTGTTTTGATATGCACGGGAAAAGCCAGTATATTTCAGTTGCTATTTCTTGTACTGTATATTGAGCATCCTTGAAAGGAATATTTTTCTTTCCACTCTGCTGTAAGTTGATAGTGAATAGTTTAGACTAGTTTCTTCTTTTTTTTTTTAACTTTTATTTAATGAATATAAATTTCCAAAGTACAGCTTATGGATTACAATGGCTTTTCCCCCCCATAACTTCCCTCCCACCTGCAACCCTCCCCTCTCCCGCTCCCTCTCCTCTTCCATTCACATCAAGGTTCATTTTCAATTATCTTTATATACAGAAGATCAATTTAGCATATATTAAGTAAAGCTTTCAACAGCAGACTAGTTTCAAAACAGAATCAAGATACTTCTTTTTTCTTTATCTCTTTTTTAAATTAACTTATGGCTATTTCCTTTCAACTTTTTACTTCCACTTGTGTTTACCATTTATTGTTCATCAATTTCTTACTACCTTAAGGAGAATTTACAAACATACATTTACTTTCAGGAGAAAAAAAAAAAATCAGCTCACATACCAAGTGGGTATCTACTGGGGAAAAAGAAAGCAAACAAAACAAGACCAAAAACTCCATTGGAATGTCTTTCTTAAATGAAAGTGTGTTTTTAGTTCTCTGGGAAAGAAAGTTTGGAAGGCAAGGAACTCTGAATTGTCACCTGCTTGTCCCAGACCCTCTTGGTTCCATGCTTTCACTCAGGCCCAAGTCCTTATTTCCCTTCCCCGGGCAGGAAAGATTATCAGTTGGACACTGGTAACGCAAGTATCCTGGAGCCGGTAGGAAATTTCCACCCAAAGAGCAGGATGGTAAAAACCCAGGGAAACAGAGGGCCACACTCCACCCCACATGTCATCCCTAGGACTCTGAATCTCGGGCTCTAGCCAGACCCCAGTGAAGGCAGAAAAATGTCTCTGTTTTACTTTCAAGAAACATAAAAGGGAGCCCCTGCCCACATGGTGGTGTCACCCGCATGACGGCTTAGCGCTGTCTTCCTTGTTGTGAATAACTGCCTCGCTCAGCTGCTCTCACCGTGGCGCTCTGTTATACCAGGCAGTCCCATGTCAGTGAGAACCATTGGCTCAAGGTTTCCAGGGGTGTCAGAATAGCTGGAGTTTCTGTGCTGGATCCCAGGAGCTATGGAATGCCAACCAGCAAGTGGGAGACCCAGGGACCCTCAATCTAAGCTCCCAGGACTCATTCTGAGATTTGCCGCTACCACAGTCCTACCCTTCTGCAAGACAATTCACGGAGGTTTCCACAAACTTCAGAGTTTGCCTGAAGTCATGTATTCATGTGGGAAGTGCCTGTTCCATGTCCGTCTCAGATCTGGGAAAGGTCACCCATGAAACAGACCTGTCCCACGCAACCGGGATGTCTGGTCACTTTTAAGGTGCCCAGACTTTGTTTTTTTCCTCTTTGCTTCGGACCAGGGCAAGGGTGGTTCTCACAGCTGGCACACCCAAAAAGGAAGTATGGTTTTCTGATCCTAGATAATAACTAATATTTATTAAGTGCTTACTATATACTGGACAGTACCCTAAGCAATTCCTAAATTAATGCTTCTAACCTTTTAAAACTTTTTTTTCAATTAAAAAATTTTAAAAGATTTATTTCATTTATTTGAAAGTCAGAGTTACAGAGACAGAGCTGGTTCACTCCCCAAATGGCCACATCAGCCAGGGCTGAGCCAGGCTGAAGCCAGGAGCTTCATGGGCTCCCTTGTGGGTGGCAGGTGCCCAAGCACTTGGGTCTTCTTCCACTGCTTTTCCCACACCATTAGCAGGGAGCTGTATCAGAAGTGGAGCAGCTGGGACTCAAACCAGCATCCATATGGGATGTCAGTGTTGCAGATGGCTTTACCCACTACACCACAATGCCAGCCCCTCTTTTTTAAATTTTAAGGTTTATTTATTTTATCTGAAAGCAGGATGAAGGAGAGAAAGAGCTTCCATCTACTGGCTCAGTCCCTAAATGGCAGCAGCCAGGGTTGGACCAGTCTGAAGCCAGGAGGCTGGAACTCCATCCAGGTCTCCCATGTGGGCGGCAGGAACCCAAATATTTGGGCTACCTCCTAGGCATATTAGCAGGAAGTTCGGTCACAAGTGTAGAGTAGTGGCACTCCAGGCACTCCAACGTGGATGTACGTGTCCCAGGCGGCAGCTTAAGCCATGGCACCACAACACTCACCCCTGCTTTTAACCTTTAAAAACAACACTGCAAATAGGTAACATTGGCCCCACTGTACATATGAGAAAACAGAAGTTAAGTGACTTGTCAAAGCAGTAGCTGGCAAGTGTTGGAGCCAAAATCTGGCCCACTCCAGGCCTGAACTCGCAACTGCTGTGGCGCCTGTGTCTCTAAAAACTGCCTTTTCTGCTCCTGGGATGTGGAAAAAGAACAATGCATACAACTGATTAATTAAACTGAACAGGAAACGCATCTCCAAAGGCTGAAACAGACTGGGAGCTGGCTTTGGCACAGGGGCTGAGTCACCACTTGGGACGCCTGCACATCCGGTTAGGTGTACCTGCGTTCAGGTCCTGGCTCCTCTGTTTGCCATCCAGCTTCCTGCTGATGAGCCCCCGGGAGTTAGCTGGTAGTGGCTTAGGGTCTTGCTACCCACATGCAAGACCTGGATGGAGCTCCTGGCTTCTGGCTTCAGCCTGGCCCAGCTCTGACTGCTGTGAGCATTTGAAGAGTGAACCAGTGGATGGAAGTCTCTCTCTCTCTCTCTCTCTCTCTCTCTCTCTCCTTTAAAATAAAATGCAAATGAAAATTTTAAATAAAAACAGACCAGAAAAAAAAAAAAAAAAGAAAAAAGCAACAGCCTTGGTAGGGGACAACTGTCAGGGAGGCCCCCTTGTTAACACAGAGGAGGCAGATGCCTGCCCATGAATGAGCTGTTGGCTGACTGGCCAACAGGTGTGGGTACACAAAACTTGTGAGTCGAGCCTAGATACCCTGAGTACCTCGAGCCGTTAGCAAGCATGACAGAGAAGCAAAATACTGGGAAAACCCAGGGACAAAACAGAGGCGCGGTAAATTTGTTCACATTCGGAGCCGCAACAAGGTTCCTTAAATCCTATACCGTCCCTCCCCGCGAAGATTTCCGCCTGGGAGAGAGCTTCTCCCAGTCTGGTTTCCTCTGAGGGAGCCCTCGCCCCTTCCCTCCCGCCGGCAGGACCTCCCATGGACCTCCCCGGAGGCCCAGCTCCCGCAGGGCAGCGGCGCGCAGGCTTCCCGGCGCGAGGCGCCGCCGCCACGGACGCTGTGCGCGGAGCTCTCTGCCGGGTGCCAGCACGCGCGCCCCGAAACCGCGGGACTGCGCACCCAGCCAGAAGTACCTTGTAAAGGGAAAGATTTTCGGCACAGTACGTAGGGAAGCAAACCTATGATCGCCAGAAAAGTGGGCAGTAGAGTTTAGACGCTAGCGTGGAGCTGGCGTTCCCTGGGGGTTAGAAAAGAAAAAAGAAAAAACTTTTCAATGGGCCATGGGTCCTTCCTGACAGTCCCCAGTGGCTGAGCTCCGGAAAAAATATTGGAGGATATGGATGGCATCTCTTGATTGGCAAGAGATTCCCCTCTCCGAGTTAGGATTGCTTTTCTTGTGCTTAGGTTCCGATTAGAAAAAAACAAGCCAGGAGACCACCACTGCAGCCTCCATAAATCCGTTAACTACACTGGTAAACCTTGACATTCATCCTTGTGGTAAAAGAGGCTGAAAGAAAAAACAACCGTTTGCTTCTTCTCTCGGTAACATCCAGGGCTGTGATGGAAAACTCCATTACTCCCAGAAATGTGCATGACGGGCATGTGTTTTTCCAGGCTGATTGTGTGCTTTAACCCAGGAGCACCTGGGATTGGGCTGTCCGGGTGGGCGCGTGCCGGCGCTGGTGCTGTTTTCCCTAATCGTGACAGCGTAACTTCCGCTTTGCTTTACCAGAAGAAATCTCAACAGTGAGGCATAATGTGTAAACTTCTTGTATGTTTGCTCTTTTCAGTTCTAGGGAAAATCCGAACCGCAGTGGGCAGTGCCCAACTTCTCATGGCGCAGAAATTCTACCAGTTCAGAGAACTGTGTGAAGAAAACCTGGTAGGTAACACGCCCCGTCTCCACGACTTCCTTGCTAGTTCCTTCAGAAGGTGCCATCAAGACGGGTGCAACCAAAGGAAAACTGACTTTGAACCAAGGCAAGGCCGCTTAGTGTCTCTCACCTGGCATAGAGTTTTCAATGAATCATGTCCTGCTTTTCTCAAGATTAAGAAATATTTATTTTGCACTTAAATAATCTTAGAAGAAAAAATCTAATCAAGTTAAAACTCCATTTCCTGCTGTCTTGTAACTGAAAATTTTCCATTTTCCTCACTTTACATGGCATCTCTGATTTTATTATTCTTACCTAAATATGGAGCATACTAACATTTCAAACATAATGGTACTGAGAAAATCATTTTGGAGAGCAATTTTTCTTTGTGAAATAGCCATCCATGGCCATTTCCTAGCCAAGAGGTCTCTGTTTTAATTCAAGGGCCAGAGGATGAGGGCCCTTTATCTTTTCTCTCTGATATAAAAAGAACAATTCAGCCTTCTTGCCATACAAAAACAAAATAAAGCAAAACAAAAATAAAAGCACCACTATCAACAACAGAATTTTTAAAAGTGACTTCAAAATGAAAAGGCAAGAGCTTTCTTATATATATGCCTTTAAAAAATGCTGCTATCTCCATGAACATAACTCCACAAAAATAGCTTTTCTTGCTCAGCTGGTGGTAAGGCTGGATCTAGAACAAAGAAAATGAAAACCGACTTAATGTATCTTGTGGGAGGTGAGAACATGATTTTTGCAATCTAAATAGCCCAAAATATGATTTTAGAGTTTTAACTGCTTCTTGTTAACAAGGACAAATATGAGAGAATACTTCAAGAAATGCATGGACAATGGAATTAAAAGATACATTTATGTGGGTGCAAAAAGTTTAAAATCTACACATAGTTTTTTCATAATACACATTTTTATAAACTTTTTGAAGATCCCTCGTAGGCATGATTTTCAATTTTAAAAAAAATCATTTATTTACTTGAATGGCAGAGTTACCAAGAGAGAGGGAGAGACAGAGGGAGAAAGAAATAGCTTCCATCTGGTGATTCACCTCCCACAAATGGCCACAACTGCCAGGGCTGGGCAAGGCCAAAGTCAAGAGCCTACAGCTTCTTCCAAGTCTCTCATGTGGATCGCAGGGGATATTCCTCCACTGCTTTCCCAGGCCTTTAGCAAGGAGCTGGGTCAGAAATGGAGCAGCCAGAACTCGAACTGGCAGCCATATGAGATGCTATTGGTCACAGGTGACAGCTTAACCTGCTAAACCACAGCGCTGGTCCAAATTTCAAAAATTTTTTCGCCCAAACAAATGTGTCTTTTAATTCCATTTTCCATGAACTTTTTTGAAGTACCCTCATATAGACTGAAAGGGAATTATTTTGGCAGGGATCAACCACGAGAAAATATAAAGCATGCAAAAGTTGGTAGGTACTCTCTCTCTGTCTTCTCCAAGCCTTTTTTCTTTGGACACACACACACACACACACTGTAGCTTGCTTTCCTCTCTCTCAGCAAAAATTACCAGACCCTTCTTCTTGCTCAGAAATCTATTTTGGATCATGAGATAACTTATAGTAGCAAATGTAATAATAAATGAATTCAATGCAACAAATATTTTATTGAGATTCAATTATGTGCCAGGTACAGAAATCTTACTAATTTTCAATTTTCTGTTGTGTCACAGATCTTAATTAATGCAATCCTTTGTTAAGTGTAAAGCAGCTCATATAAAGCCATTTTGCTCAAACTGACTGGTAGATACACGAGGAAGTCACTAGGTCCATACAATAGGGAAAACACAGCACACCTTGAGAAAAGAATGTGATGAGCCAGTATATTAGGAAATAAAATGCAAACATTGCACAGATTGTAAAGATGAAATTGCCAACAAAACTTTTTGAAAATTTTGCAAATTTCTAGGAAATGTTAACCTCGTTTAAGCCAGTTTTGACGTTTCCTAGGCTCCCATTTGTTGGCCACTGGAGGAGAAACTTAGAGGGTGACATACCAGAAGCACTAAAGCAGGGCCACACTGAGGCAGGAGAGCCACTGATACAGGTCCAAACAGGCTCCCATGGGGAATGTCAAGACCCCTTCTGTCACAGGCCATGCTGAGAGCTTGTAGACTTCTGATCTGTGGAGTTGATAGTGACATCATTTTTATGCTGGTTTTACAATGAGAGAAATGGGCATAAAAAAGACTAAGAAATCTGGCCAGGGCCCCATTGTAACAGGCAAAGCCAAGATTCAAGTCCCAGTCTGGTTGACTTCCATTCCTGTTGATTGCACCTTTAAGGGAGGGGAGTAGGCTCCACCCCTGTGCTGCAGGAAGCCGGCACTGCAGGTGGCGGCTTTACCTGCCACACCACAGCGCTGGCCCCTGGAATACATTTTACAACTGAACCAAAAACTTTTTTTAAATTTATTTTTTATTTTTTTGACAGGCAGAGTGGACAGTGAGAGAGACAAAGAGAAAGGTCTTCCTTTTGCCGTTGGTTCACCCTCCAATGGCTGCTGCGGCAGGCGCGCTGCGCCCAGCGCACCACGCTGATCCAATGGCAGGAGCCAGGTGCTTATCCTGGTCTCCCATGGGGTGCAGGGCCCAAGGACTCGGGCCATCCTCCACTGCACTCCCTGGCCACAGCAGAGAGCTGGCCTGGAAGAGGGGCAACCGGGACAGAATCCGGCACCCTGACCAGGACTAGAACCCGGTGTGCTGGCACCACAAGGCGGAGGATCAGCCTAGTGAGCCGCGGTGTCGGCCCCAAAAACTTTTAAACCTTAGAATTTATCTCTTCCAATGAATTTTGGAAGGAGGGGTAGTTTTAGAACCATAAATTCATTTTTTTTATTTTTATATTTTAGAACCATAAATTTATAGATATGTTTATATTTATATTTATTGTGAGCCAGACCTAAAATATCCAAGGACTTAAAAGTTCTTTCTAACCTATTTACTTGGATGGCCATCAAGTTTGAACACTCTCTGACATTTCAATGATAACATTTTTATTAGAGGTTAGTTTGAAAAGCACACAGTGCCTCCGTGTTATTATATGACATGAGGTTTCAAGTCTGTTCAGTTGCCCAGAATACCCAGAGGTAGCTAGAACTGCCATTCACCAGGCATACCACCACCCCCTGACGCATGGTCGCTGCCACTCGTCTGACCATAAGTGCCTTTAGCTACTGTTGCAAGTAGGGAGCAGCGAGGAGCATGATACCATCAATCACTTAGTTGTATTTTTTCAGTCTTAACTCATATGAAGTCAAGTTCATAATTTCTATTGTCAGGCATATGTGAATGGGGACAAAGTCCGTCCTCAAAACCTAGAGAATATTTACTATTATCTAGCAAAGGGTCATGAACGTATAATATATGTATGTATAGATAATGCATTCTTGCATTGCCTATATTATATTTTGATCAATTGAATACTAATTTCAAATCAGTCATATGATAAAGTGGCTTTCTAACATCTTGATTATTAAACATGCTACTTTGAAACACCAATTCTTTTATAATTTGTTATTATTTGCCCTAGTGTTTCACTGAACATGAATGTTAAAACTAATTTCATTATCTGGTCATATTCTAGTCTTATTTATTTATCTTGTCTCTGAATACATTGTGTAGCATGGAGTAAAATATTGAGTCTAATAATATACTGCATTTCTTTTTTGAAGACAGCATTTTCATTTAAATATAGTCTTTTAAAAAGGCATCCTGTAGATCACACATTCTGGGTTTGTTTTTTTTTTAATGTTCAGACACCCCCACACACACATTTGTATTGACTGATGTTGCATCACAAGTTTGACAACCTTGACATTTGAGAATCACTGACTCAAATGGATGAGTGTATAAAATTGCCATTCGTAGCCTCACTTTTATCTCCTGTTTGAAAACCAAAAGGAACTCATCTTCCTTATGTTATCTAAACTATTTGAAAAGGCCTCTTTGGCCCTGGGCTTGTTGTCAGGATTGCATCTAAAGCATGAATATTTTTCTTCTCTTGTACAGAATCCAAATGCTCATCCGAGGCCCACCTCCCAGGATTTGGCGGGGTTTTGGGACATGCTGCAGTTGTCCATAGAAAATATTAGTATGAAATTTGATGAACTTCATCAATTAAAGGCCAATAATTGGAAACAGATGGATCCTCTTGACAAGAAGGTAGAACAATGTAGATTTTGTATGGTTCATTTAAAAACCTGCACAAACACTGGACAGTCTAAATAGGCTTCTGCATTTAGTGCTGCTGTTTACAATGTGAAATGGAGCTGATATCATACTCATTTCATTGTAATGACAATGTTTACATAGTAATCATTTGGGATATTATCTGTAATATGTTTCAGGCATATTTTTAAAGAAAAACCTGTCTTTGTGAATTGGAAAATGGGAATGTGGCTTTTTTTTTGTTAATTAAACTTTAAGTTAAACTATTTTAGTCACTGGAAGGAACTGCCTCCATTTTGCTTTTTAAACTAAAATAAATGACATCTTCAGTGCATGATTCCATAGAACAAGAGTTCAACTTCCTTACACCCTTGGGATGTGGTTCCAAGAAAAATAGGAAGCCCTGAAAAATAACTGACTTTGAGAATCATCTCAGAAATATAGCAATGAAGAAATCACTGTTGTTCAAGTCTAAAAGCATACACCATACAATTTCACAGTAATCATAAGTGTGGGGATTTTTTTTTTCAAAAGAATTTTTATTTTCGGTTGAATTGCCTTGGGGGATATTGCTCACTGGGGTCCTAATGCAAACGTTTAGAAATAAAAACCTGAGTTCTTTTATTTTAATTAAACAAGTGCAGTTTTCACATTTGATGATGGGAGAGGGTGTCCACCAGACTCACACAGGTATCCAGTGTCCACTCCCCAGGCTGGCCTGTCATGCACGAGTGTTTTTCACCCTTCGCTCTCATGGCCTGTGATCAAGAGGTTCACCTTGTGAAAATTAAGAATGGCTCTTCCTTTGAAGCAGTGATGGTCCTGCCTCTCAGGTGTCCTCACTGATCAGAGCTAAACAGCAATCCGATCCATTCTGCTGCTGCTCATCGTAATCTCAGGGTTCCTGGGGCACCGGCCCCCCATGAGAAATCCAGTCCCCAGGGACAATGTGTAAGCAACAAGAGGGCAATGCTGTCATCTCTGTGCCCCCACTTGCAGTCCAGCCACTGTCCAGCCAGGGGTCTCCGCGTTAAATATGAAAGCACCGTTGATGGGGCAGGACCTCTCACTTGGGAAGCCAAGCATTTGCACCCAGTCTGATTTTCTTTATGTGTAAAACTGGTAAGCTAGACAAGCTTTTAAGTCTGTCTCCTTTTAAGAAAACTCTGCAGATGGTCAACACGCTGGTAAATGAATCTCCAGAGCTGATCTAAGTTCTCATTCATTGATTTAAAAAAAAAGAAAAAGTTGCTAAAAAACATGTACAAGGAAAGGAAAATGACTAAAAAGTTTCCAGTATGGACACTTTTTAAAATAAGTCCACTGAGGTACCCAACATGAAGATTTCAAACATCCAAAAGAAGTGATGCTAGGAATGGATATAAGTGAGCTGCTGATATTTGCACAATCAGTAGTTAGATTGATTTTTAAGGCTTTTAAACTATACTCTATGACCAGCCCATTCTATCACTCCGTGGATGTGAGAGGCACATTTGTTTTTATGATAACTGGAAGTATTTTGCTTGAAAAGGAAACGTCAAATCCAGGTAAATCTGTTCTCAACCTGGGGGCTCAACATCCTCCCCGTGTGCCCCCCCCCAAGTCCGTGGTGGTTCAGAGCCCCTTCACTGTGCCTGCACTGCATTTTTTTTTTTTTTTTTTGGGGCCAAAAGGATGAATGGCTGTTTATTTATTTATTTGCAATGACACTGCAAATGGATTTTATAGTTTGATGCTGATAAGAAGGATGACCAGTTTTTGGCTTGTGCTAAATTTTCATGGCACAATTTCTGTCGCTGTGACTACAACTGCCGTGTGGGCCAGTCATCCGGAGGCCCCTGGGGCCTGACTTCCTGCAGTCATCTTGGATCTGGCTCCCCTCCCGACCATAGGAGATCTCAATGTCCTCCTTTCCCGGTAACCCTGTATTGCTGTGTGTTCCCGCGGATTGCGCAAAAGGGAATTACTCACTGTGGCATCAACAAAGCTAAAGAACACAGTCTGAGAACCTCTTCCTCCTTTGGTTAGGCAGACTGGGGGAGAGAGGGAGGCTGGCTGGGTGGGCCGGAGCAAAGAGCGAGCCTCGAGCCTCGGATGTTTTTAAACCACGAACCCAGCTCGTACCCCTGCCCGGTGCCTGGCCCCTTAGAGGGGAGGCAGAGTTCGAGCTGCTGCTGCAGCTGCTGGCTCTCCTTGGCCCATCCTTGGCACCAGGAAGAGCCTGGGGAGGGGGTTCCAGAGGACGCCACACTCAGTGTGCTGGGAGTGCAGCCGTTCAGCAGTGGGCATTTTCAATACCCGCAATACGCTTTTGGAGAGACCTAGCTAAGCATTCTGTCCTACCCTTGGCCTTAAGCTTACCAAGTGGTGTTTTTTTTTTTTCCGCTGCATCTTTTGAATATCCAAGCCAGAATAATGAAGAAAAAAAACATATTTATATATGTATGTATGCAGTGTGCAGATCAGAACCAACCACCCTTAGGTTAAAACAGAAACAAAACAAAAAAGTGTGTTCTAACTACTGACCTATCCCAGTTTTTCCCAAGCTTGTCCTGAGAAGCTGTGTAATGTCCTGAACCTTCTGCTTTGATCAGGAGAGAAGGGCCCCTCCTCCAGTGCCAAAGAAGCCGGCGAAGGGCCCCGCGCCGCTGATCCGGGAGCGCTCGCTGGAGAGCTCGCAGCGCCAGGAGGCCCGCAAGCGCCTGATGGCCGCCAAGCGCGCCGCGTCCGTCCGCCAGAACTCGGCCACCGAGAGCGCCGAGAGCATCGAGATCTACATCCCCGAGGCGCAGACCCGGCTCTGAGCGCCGCCGCCCGCCAAGTATCTGTCCCCCGCTCCCGCCCTACCCCGACCCCTCCCAGCCCGTCCGTTTCTGAGCTCAGTGACTTCCACTGTCGTGGTGTAGTTGTCCACCTCGCAGGAGCCGCCCCCGGCCACCCCGCTCCCTGGACCAGTCTGCCCATCTTCCTCACCGAACCTAGCCCCGGATCCTGATCCGTCACCCTGCCTCATCCACAGACCCAACCCTTTATTTTCTGGGCCAAGCCACACCCACCTGTGTAGAAAGGACACCTTTAGGTCACCTGCCATCCTCAGTTCTCTCAAGCTAGTCTGTTCCTAGACCTCAGCAATATAAAACCATAGGGTATTTCAGAAATCCAGTATCACAGGGCGATCCTTTGGGACTTAACGGTCTTCCATAGGGAAGAATCGAGGGCTCCGATCCCCTTTATTTCCCCTAAATGGTTATTCTTTTTTAAAAAGCAGAGGGAGCACTTTATTCCCAACCTCAGACATCACACCGTCTCACCAGAATCAAGGAGTGACAGGGAGAAAGGGGACCAAGCAGGCCTGGGGGTGGGGGACCCGAATGTGTAGCCGAGAAGGGAGACAGAAGTCAAGTCCGCAGGTGCTGCGGGCACCTGCGCCACTCACAGCTGCACAAACTGCCTCACTGTTACTTCATCAATCACAGCTTCAAATGTTGCAATCAGCAGAAGATTGTAAATTCGATCTTTCAGGGAAATTAATCTATTCCGAATGGCAATAAAATGAAGAAAGGCAAGGCCATGGAAGCCCGGATGGTTTCAGATACTAAACAAGGGATTTTTTTTTTTTTTTTTTTGTCCTAGTACTAAGAACATTTAGATCTGAAATGTTTGGTCAACTTTCATTGTGCTGTGTATATTCTGTCGTTGTGGAGGTGGTTTTTCAAGGGGAGAGCATTGGTTCATTTGTTAGTGTCCACACTGGTGGGCCTAATGACACACATACAGGCACACATCTGCCTACAGAGCATGGTGGCAGCACAGCTGTTTTCAGAGACCAGTTGGGGTTTTCCTATCATCCCTTCGAATGCTACACGTCCATCTGTTTTAACCCAGTAGCTCATATCTCAGATGCGTTTTCTCCTTTAGTCTCCTCTCATGATGATTCCGAGTCCAATCATACCCCCCAGCATAGGAGTCTGTCCTATGTCAAATAGATGAAATAAATTCTCTAACCCAATAGACCTGCTGCCTCACTTCAAAGAGCTGCCTAAAAGTCACCTAGAGGTTCCAGGTAGTGGAGAAGAAATCTGACCCACTGGGGTCAACTGCCAGGAGGTGGGGGAAGAGGGGATAGGGGTTGGGGTCTGCATCATGCTGATATAAACACTGCAAGAACGCCAGGCTTTTGCCAGAGAACGTTGATTTACATTTGTAGTCAGAATTGATGGGCAGTATGCCTTGGCGTCTAGCTGAAGTTGTTGTTAAATGCCCTTACGCGTAGCAGTTTAAACATTTCGACTGTGGCAAACTTAAAGTACCACTAGCATTTGGTGTCCAGCTCACACACCCTAAAGCATTGGGAACTACCATTGAAAAATGAAAGACTTTTAAAAACATAACATCAAGTATGCTTGCACCAGAGAAGCTTTTAAAAGAACACACTCTCATAGCCAGGTGCTAATTTAATTTTACTTCTGAAATTAGGAGGGTTCTGGCAACAAGTATTTTCACGGACATACTCTAAAACCACTAGAGAATTCGCTACCTCTCAGAGCCATTGATGCTTTGAGCTATCTTTATAAACAGGGCACAAATGTTTACTGCTGTGGTTTACAAGAAAAGGGCTACTAACTTATTTAAAAACCAACCAACCAACTTGTAACTAGGATGAATAAAGCATCTTTCTTGAGTGCTTTGTAGCATTGGAGCATACGGAGATTTTGAGCTTCGAGGATTTGCTAGTTTTAGAAAAAATCCACCTTTTTTTTTTTAACCTTGTAGCAGCGATGAAAGGTCACACAAAGCTTGTGTGGAGTAGGGACAACTGCCACCTTGGGTAGCCTAGGGTCACATTCATTATGAGAGTGACTTGGAACTCACAGATTAATATGACAGAAGCAGCATCCATTCCAGGACCCAGGATCACAACAACTACAGCTCTGAGCCCTGAAGTTGAGTTAGTTAAGATTTGGGTTAAGAAATCGATTTCTAATACAATTCAAGATCATCCTACAAAATTTTCTTTGGAGACTGATTTATCCCAGGATCTTTTAATGAGAGACAAGAGGAGGCCTATTTATCTTGTCTAAGGGAACGGTATTTGTATATTCATAAGCTATTTTTGGTAAGAATTTTAAATCTTTTAGCTGAACGCCTACAGGGCATCATGACCTTTGCCTTCCTTAAAAACACAGCTGAAATTGTACAAACACTTTATAAAAAGCCAATTATTGATGTGAGAACACCACCCCACACGATGCTGCTTGCTAACCACTTGACCCCTGAAACTGACATTCATGAGCATAACCTTTGTTACATTGTTCTTTTTGATGTAATTTGTAGAAATGTTTTTTAGTTCATAATGGAAAATGTATGTACCCTGAAAAACTACTTATTTTGTTTAACTTTGGTATAAAGGTGTTGGGCATTTTCTTGGGGAGGGGGGGTTACAAAAGCAGTTTGTCTCCCACATCAAAAACGTTCAAAAAAATTAAGTATTTATTATATTTTTTGCAGATGTTTCCATACAATTCACATAAGCTTTTTGTAAAGAGAGATGAAGAAATGGATTAAAGATTTTTAATATTTGAAATGGTAAATAGAACTAATTTATTTGTAATATATTTCTGTTATTTATAGATGTTTCCTTAATGTTTTACTGTGCATCACCACTTTAATTTAAGCCTTATCCTTGTGAATTTACCATTTCTTTTTTAAAACATGTCTAGATGCATATTTTAAATAACTGGAATGTAAAAATCACTAGCATATCTGACTTCCCAAATGTAATTTTTAAAAATTATTTTGGTTTGGAAAAAAAAAAGATTCATTTGAAAGCCTTCAGATGGAGGGGTGGGGAACATTTTTATGGCTTTATGAATTGGAATTTCATAGGCTTATTTACCTAGATTGTGTGTGGACAAAAAAATTTGTAAATAGATGAATGTTTCCCATAATGTAAAAAGAAGAAATTAATAAAATAATTAATGCACTGCTCTCAGGTCTGTGTGTTCTTACTACAGAGTCATGCATCTTCCAGAATAGAACTCATTGTCTTTTGGGAAGAATATTAAAGCAGTTGAGACACAGATCCTATCTTTCTGACTTTCATTGTGACAACACGTTTCTTATGCACTGTTGAGCAGGCAGGGAGATCTTGCAGCCTATTGAAGGCATTCATTACTGAAGAACTAAGAAGTCCTTTCATTCAGAGAATTATATATATGAAGTCTTGGGTCAAGACCTACAAGAACTCTATGGCAGTGAGAATCAGGTACATTTTGTGGTTGAAGTTGCTAGCCTCTCAAATGTGTACAAACGTGTGTGGATCTCATCCACATTTTTTCCTACACAAAACAACACTTCTGGTTTTCATTCCGTCCTCAAAGTCATGAAAACTGCTCACTGAGGTTTAGTGACTTGCCCAAGGTGGTCCAATGACTAAGGGACAGATTTGAGTCCCAAATCCCAAATTTCAGGTCACTCCTTCTTCAGTGCTATCTCTATCACGCCTCCCACACTGGAAGTAGGCAGCTCTTTGCCACTGTCAGTTTCATCTGGTTTTCATTATGGTCATATTTGTAAACCTTACTTTATAAACAAAAGTACAGATTTACAAAGAAAAGGAAAGTTAGAATTTTTTTTTATGAAGTGGACTTGCATTTATCTATTGCCTGATACCTGTGTTTACAGCGCTTCTTCCTCAATCCCCTACCAAGTTCTTGGGCAAACCCATTCACTTACATGAACTGGCTTGGAAATTGGTGACCAGATAAGCCACTTTTCCTGAGTTTTGTACATAGGCAAGACCTGTGCCAGTCGCCAAAATAACACAATGTTCTTTTCAAATTGCTTCAAATGAGGAATGCACAGGTGACTGCATCCTTGTGAGGTTACAAAGATCTCATTACTTTGGTTCATGTACTGACTGTTCATGTAGTCCGAATAGTGATTATACTTCTTGCTTTTCACAAATTAATCCTTCTATTTCACTGGGGCTCCTTAAACATTTTGGCCAATCCCAAACCAAAAATTAGTTAACTTTTGGATGTAGAAATCTGAATTTCCACAAAGGGATTTCCTAAGTTATAGTATCCACCCTCCAAAAATAAATGTAATTTAGTTTTTAAATACAAATTGAACAAAATGGCTTGCCCTGAACTTGGCTTTTTTTTATATATATATACCTTTAAAATCCACCCTGAAGAATATACATTGATTCTGGCTTAAATAAATGACATATTAAAAATCATAGTGTCTGAATGTGTTCATTCTCAAATGCCATTGATACTGAATGGTGCTGAAATTTACCTTGGGTTTGCTCAATAGGCTGTTTGACTTTTAGCTGCTAAACTAAGATTGAATCAACCCTTTTGCAAACAGAAACTAGTTACCCTGTCTGAAAACCCTTTCTCGGGCCCTAAAATATTTGCTGATACAAGTTTACAAACGAGTCTTAAATTTCTCTGTCAGTCACTATCTCCCACAAAGCGGAAAAAGGAGAAACAGTGTACCACTTCCTGGTGCTCTGCTCCCCTCTGGGCTGACATTATCAGAAAAATCACAGGACTGTGAAGCCCCAGCACAAACAGATTGCTGGGCTCCCTTCAGAAAACCAGGGGATTATTTCAATAGGTCTTTTGTGTAAATGAGCATAAGCCTGAATTTACAGAAAATGGCTCAAAACACGCATTTTCAGAAATGCCTAAGTCAAGCTCTGCTCTGTAGCTGGTGAAACTGTACCGCTCACGGCACAAAATGTTTCCCCCACACTGATCACAGTTGCCATTCCACCTGTTCACGCTTCCAGACTGCCTTTCTGGAGAAAAGATGCTAATTTCATTTGGAAACCTGCTAGGTAACTCAGTGTCACAAGGAAGCTTCTGTTAATCTCAGGGAAGAGAGTCTTCCATAGAAAAATTCTCCCTTTCACTCTGGAAAAGGAAAGGGGGAAGCAAATAGAGCCTGTGTTTTCTCTTCTGTTGCATGGGGGAGGTGGTGCTGGGAGGGGGAGACGCAGTCTGCCCATAGAGTCTTTGGGGAGGTTATGAACAATGTCAGAGTGCTGTAGTGTTACATCCAGGCGCTTTTACTTCTGAGGGCCAATACTCTGTCAATAGAAAATGTGGCTAGCCTTCTAGAGTTGTGTGCCCACTCAGTCCTCCTGATCCATGGTTCCAAATCTGTGTACTCAACCAACCTTGCACTGAATATACTAGAAAAAACTTGTCAGAGCTAAACATTTACAGACTTTTACCCCTCGTCATTAGTCCTTAAACAATATGGAGTAGCATCTATTTACATGGCATTTACACTATATTAGGTATTATACGTAGTCTAGAGATGATTTAAAGTATATAGAAGGATGTACACAGGATGGATGCAAACTCCATTCAATTTAATACAAGGGACTTCAGCATCCTTTTGTGCAGGGTCCTCACCAATGCCAAGGGACCACTATATGGCCACTGGTTGATGAGCGCTCCCTTCTTTCTAGAGCTTTCCTACCTGCAGTTTCAATTATGAAGGAGGAGAAACCTCTAAGGAAGTAGATACTATGGATGGCCCCATAGAATACTGGCAAGGAAACATCTCTCCAAATGCTCATAAAAATATTCTACCAACTGAAAAAGGGAGGGTTTGTTTTAAAGTGTGTTTCTTTTTAATTATTTTTATCTTAGAGAATAATCTCCTGGTATGGAAAAGGTTGACTTCTCTGTATGACTTTAAAAAACAAAAACAAAACCAGGTTTATCACATCATTTCCTTTCTAGAATAAGACCGAATGTGCTTTACAACCTCAGCCAATAGGATGTCTGTCTGTAACTCCCAAGTGGGAGAGGAAGCAGATCACAAAGGCAAAACACGCACAAAGGCGGAAAGGGAATTAAAATTTAAGCAATTCACCCTCAGATACCTTCCTAGTGTGATTGAAGATAACACGGTTCTTGAGCAGCCTCTCCTATCCCCAGTAAGCTGAGAGAAAAGAGCCCCTGTACCTTCATCTTGTCTGTTCTCTGCAGGTCTTGGTGAGCCCAGCACCTTCCAACACTGAGCTGGGCAAACACGAACGAGCAGATCAATTCCTGGATTCTTTCTTAACATTAGTCAAGCAAGGGAATGAGTCTGGAATGACCGCATGGGGAGCCTGTCCAAAGAGAAGCTGTCTTTGTGTCTGGTCTTCCGTTGGTGCATTGAGCAGCTCTTGACTGGCAGGTTGTTCCAAATGAAATCCATGAAGTCTTAACAGAGAGAGTGAACAGGTAATCAATAGCCTGGAAAGCTGCGACAGTGGGGCGTTGTTGGCACAAGAAGACGGGGATCTCCAAACTGAGGGTGAATGATTGTTTAGCACCTTGTAAATAGCAGTAAAGTAGAAATAATTATTCAGATAATTCAGGGTCATTCTGGAGACAAAGAAATTTCATCACCCTACTAAGGTGGATCTAAGATGTTTTGGTTTTATGCTATCTGGGATCTGTCAGTAGTTGAAGTTATCCTGTTCTCAAGGGCACTTCATTGGAAGATAAGGTCATGAGGAAGCCAAGGACCAGTTTTTTTTTTTTTCTGGCAAAGACAACACATTAGAATTGGGTTAAATATTCACCTGAAAGAGCTTGGGTTAAATATTAAAGAAATGCTTATCTAAAGAAATGACAGGTGACTGCTATGAGAAACTTGATATATCACCTGAGAAAAGTCACTATGACAGAACTATGTCACCTGAATGCTCTCCACTAGATAGGACAGGTCCTCTACGGCTATTCGTGTTTAGATTTGTCCACTGGGTGATAAATATATAACAGAGAGGTCTCCCTACCCTATAATCCCTGTTGGCTTCAGCCCCAATTAGGGATTGTCCAGCAAGGTTTTAGGGAACCACTCCAGATTCACAAAGATGGAGGAAAAAAAATCCCTACACACTCCACTGAGACACCAATGTGCCATTTCAATTATAATATTCTGACTTGAGATCGAGTAGATAAGCATTGCTACAAGCTCATGAGACATTTTCTGATATTCCCAGTGTTTCTTTTGGAAACTTGACTCACCTTCTCATCAACCTCAAAACTGTGCCAAGCCAGGCAGGGTCATCATTCTGTTCATGGATCAGTGTTCAGATTTTAAAACAGACCACCTGGTTTGAACCTTAGTTCTACCACTTATGAGCTGTATCTTTTTGGAGAAATTATTTAACCCCTCTGTGCCTCAGTTTCTCATGTATACCATTAGGATGAAAATAGTGAATGGTTACAAGGACTGTGTCAATTAAAATACATAAAGTTGTTAAGGCAGTGTCAGGCACATGGTCAGCACTCAATAAATGTTCAATGTGACCACTGTCATCATTATTACTAAACAATTTCCACTGACTGAGAAAGGGCCCTTGTGCCCTGGGCGAACTGTTTCATGTGTATTCCGTAACCTAATCCTCATGATCACCCAATGAGGAAGTCTCTACACCTGAGTTACAGAGAGATTAGGGAGTATCTCAAGGTCACCAGTAAGTGACAGAGTTAATATTTGAATCCACTCTGAAGCCAGATCCTTTGTTCATAGATGTGTGACATGTACAGGGCAAAGCAATTTGTCTGCGGTGTTTTTTTTTTTCCCCTGTAAAAAAATACTCACATGAGAATTTCAGAGAGAAATAAAGGGTGTACAATGACTGTACTTTTCACTCTAGTTCTTTCCTGATGTATCACCTCAGAGAAGTCACTCTGACAGCATGGTGTCACTCGAATGATTCTCATTCAATAGGGCAGGTCCTCTATGATGATTAGTATTTAAAGGTGTCTATTTTAGGTGGCACATACATAAAAGACAATTCAACATCTTTGAACAGTTGATTGCATGTGTATCTTCCTAACTTTGAGCTTTGAGTACCATAATGGGAATATCTATTTTCCCCTACACAATGGAAGCACACTATACACATTCCTTTCCTGTTTGCCTTTTCACTTACTCATGCGTCATTTCATTTTAGGACCTTATGATCCA